TTAATTGGAGTTATGGAGTCACGCTGACATCGCTGCAGTTTTGTCAACCTCTGTTTGATCTGTGATGAGTAGAAAGTGTGTGCGAAAAATTGTCACCCTCGGTTCTGTACGCTTCCTCTCCGTCCGCCTGATAACCCCTGTCTTCCCACTCCAGAGCTTGGAATTGATGATCCGTAGCATTGTTTGCATCGTCTTCCTCTTCCTCATCCTCGTCTTCCCATGGAGGCTTGCGGATTTGGCTGCGTTCGGACGGGTTCGGGGACATTGACGGGGGAAGATTGGGTGCCACGCTGCAGACGGCAACACCTCTTCGTGGCATCCCGAGGATGTGTGGTAGATCTGCCTGGAAGGTGCTCATTTGCAGAGGGCAGGAGAAAGTGGCCAGCCCTCCCTCTGCCTTTTCCGTTTCCCCTTGAGGGATTCCCTGGCAGCAGGGAAGTGTATAGGCTGTGGGCCGCACCATGACCTGCGGTGGCCCTCCTGCACTGTCGTTCCGGTAGAGGCTGGCACGACACTCGCCGCTGACCCGTATGGCTTCGAACTCGATGCCCTCGGCTCCCATGCCCGTCTTATGCAGCATGTAGTTGGTCTCTGTGGAGATGCCCACCGCCTCCCCACGGCTCCAGTCCTTCCGGAGGACTTTTTTACGAAATGCGGCCAGCAGGGTCAGCAGGACCAACACCACAAAGAGCAACACGCCAATGCCGATGATCTCTCCTGGTCCAATGTATGACAGGGCCTCAGCCTGAGTGTCTGGGCCGTCCAGAGGCTGGCCGCAGAACTGACCCTTGAAGCCCACGGTGCAGTTACAGTAGAAGGCTCCGAACGTGTTCACACACGCTCCTCCATTCTCACACTCCTCCCTCTCACACTCGTTCACATCCTCATCGCATCTGTGGACAGAAGGACTGTGTTAGGCTCTTTGGGATTTAAATACTAACTTACTATTTACTGTATACTGTACCATACATACATTTGATTCTTTAAGGGAATACATCAGCCAAAAAAATTCTCTCAACATTTATACACCCTCATGCCATCCCAGATGTATTTAACTTTTTTTTCCAGATGAACACGAATATTCTTAGAAAAGTAAACAACTTCTGAGTGCATATAATGTAGCCCAAAATTTTACACTTCAAAAAACCATACAAAGTAAACAGCAGTAATCAATACAACCCCAGTCGATGAATCAATGTCTTCTGAAGTGAAATGATAGGTGTGTGAGAAAAATACTAATATTATTTTGAAACTATAAACCCTTGCTGTCATACACACACATTCATGAGTTCACTCGATATAAACGTCTGTGTGTTGTGAAAAAAAGCGCGCATGATTTTGTGTTTTAAACTGTTGCATTCAACTTTGCAAAAAAAATGTAAACTGTTATTTTGCTTTAAATTACATAATATTTGTCAGTCCCAACAAATAAGTCTGAGAGTCACTCAGCAGCTGTAATTAGGTTCATTCATCACATCTGACATGAATGGTCACGTCACATGCATTGTGGGATACAGTACTGGGATACAGTTCCAACTATGCAGTACACCAAATGACTATGTTCGAATTTCTAGAAGAGTTGATGTTGGATGACCGATTACTTCTGCCGAAACCCTGAAATGCACATCCAAAGGACACTATTGCTAACACATGAGGCCACAGGAGAGATTTAGTTATATTCATACATGGTGGAGAACTGTAAAATTGTGATTATGTAGATCACATAACAATGGCAACATGCCAGATGTAGTATGACCAGATTGAATTCATATTACACACACTTATACTTTTTAGTGTACTTAAATTCTTCTTCAGATGTAGAACCTTGTTTGACAGTATGCATTTTCGGACGCAGGAAGTGCATTCAGCTCATTTTGGCAAATGCAGCAGGTCATCTAGGTATCTATAGTTGTGGTCAAAGTTTTAAACACACTTTGCAGCATCTGCAAAATGTTTATTATTTTACCAAAATAAGAGGTATCATACAAAATTATTTTTCATTTAGTACTGACCTGAATAAGATATTTCTCATAAAAGACAAGTACTAAATAAAACATAACATGCATTTTGTATTATCCCTCTTATTTTGGTAAAATAATTAACATTTTGCAGATACTGCAAAGTGTATGTAAAATTTTGACCACAACTCAACACTATTGTTCAGAAGTTTGGAGTCAGTAAGAATTTTTTTTCTCTGTTTTTGAAATAATTATTTTATGCCCAGATTGCCCACCATGGTTGCATTTATTTGATCAAAAATACAGTCAAACTGTAATATTATAAAATATTATTTGAATATATAATATTATTTAAATATTATTATTTAAATAACTAATAATTTTCTATTTTAATATATTTTAAAATGTAATTTATTCCTGTGATGGCAAAGCTGAATTTTCAGCAGTCATTACATCAGTCTTCAGTGTCACAAGGTAATTCAGAAATAATTTTAATATGCTCATTAGAACTAATGGTTATACTTTACTTGAAGGGGTGTGCATAAGACTGACATAACACCTTCATAATCATGACATGACACCTACATAATCATGACATGACACATGTCATGAATATGAAGGTTTTTTATGCATGTTTATGACAACTGTCATTAAGTGTCATTCGCTCAGTTATGTAATTTTAATGCAAAGATTACATTGTTTGAGATGTCTTTGTTATGGGCTATGGTTAGGGGTAAGGGTAGGGGTAGGGTTAGGTCAAATAATGTCATATTTGCATTAAAAATGACATAACTGAGCGAATGACACTTAATGACAGTTGTCATAAACATGCATAAAACCTCCTTCATATTCATGACATGTGTCATGTCATGATTATGAAGGTGTCATGTCAGTCTTATGCACACCCCTTCAAGTAAAGTGTTACCGAACTAATTTCTAATGTTGAAAACAGTTGTGCTGCTTAATATTTTTGTGTAAATGGTGATACTTTTTTCAGGATTTTTTGATGATTCAAAAGAACAGCGTTTATCTGAAATAAAAATCTTTTGAAACATTACAAAGGTCTTTATCACTTTTGATCAATTTAATGCATACTTGCTGACACACTATACACTAAACACTATAAACTGCATGAATAATAAGAATATTATGTTAATCTGAACACAGCTTTAGTGTTTCTCTCATTATCTAATTAGTTCTCAGAAGCAGAGAGAGAGAAAGAGGTTTCTTGTTGCATTTAAAGATTCATAAATATTCACATTTAGCTGAATTCCCCTCTGTGCTGCAAACAGCAAATATGTGATGATCTGTTGCTCAGAGAACTCTTTATACATACTCTTGAGTACAATAAAGTTCAACGAATCTCTCAAGTGAGCATAAGAGAACATAATGAGAGGGTTGTTTGTATTGCGTAACATAATGACACAGCTGGTTAAGCAGAGAAAGTAGTTATATAGTAGTTTTATAAACCAATTCGATTTTTATTACTTTCTCCCCACTACATAAAAAGACAGAGAGGAAAAGGGCAGAGGTCCCAGTATCCCACTTTTCTCAGTCAGTTGTTCATGTGTAGCTTTAGGTTTGCTTGGAAAAAGTAACAACAGTATCATCTAGTGGAAAGATAACTTGAACTCATCTCACTCTGAAAAAGAATTATCATGGCACAAAGAAATTAGAGAAGCCTTAGTGGGATTTTTTAGATGGATTGCTCTAAAATCTGCTCATTATTTATTAAATGATTTTAGTAATTAGTGATAAAGGTCTAATTAACACAATCAAACAACATACCTGTTTTACAGGGTCACGTATGTACTGAACCAGTAGTTCAAACAATTAAGGTCTGAGATGGAAAAGATCAGGTAAACGCTAAGAATAATGACTTTCAGATGAGAGACACAGACAGTAAGTTGCTGGTTACCTGCTCTCCACAACACACGCATAAAGATAAAACATCTTATAATGTAATGTTAACCAATCATGGACTTTCTGGTGATTAGAACCGTTTTGAACTATACAATACTTTTTAAACAGAATATTTTGAAATAATTTGAAGAGCTTTTGAACTATTTGAAGTCATATTAACTGTCAAATACAATAAAAACACCCTTTCAAAGCATTATTTCATATATGTTGTACCAAAATATTCAGTTAAAAATGTACTGTGTAGTTCAAAATGGTTATAATTACCAAATAGTTTTAATGAGACACTATCTATTGGGTGACACCAATAAAATAATATGTACATGTATTAATATATATTTAAAACATATGTAAATATTTATAAATGTGCTGGTGTCTCATTTACCACCTAAATGTCTGTGGTGTGACATCTTAAAAGTCATTAAGGTCTAAAATGTATGCAAGATTAATGGTAAATTCTACCAAATCACAAATAGTACATACTGAAATAAAATGTCTTACATGAGTCCGGTAAAGCCTTTGAGGCAGCCGCAGAGGAAGGTGTTCCCCACAGCCTTACAATCACCCCCATTCTGACAAGGTGAGGGCACACAAGACGTCACCTCCATCTCACAGCGGGACCCCATGAACTGTGGCAGGCAGCTGCATGAGAAGTCTGGGGACAAATACAATGAGAAACAAGACTTATAAGACAAAGCTAATACTGAGCTAATGACTAAAATCTGAACAACTGACCGTTATTGACGTATTGATGGTTATATGCACTTTCTATTTCTCACCACCAGAGGGCAGCTTTGTACAAGAAGCTCCATTCTGGCACGGCCCACCGAGGCACGGATCAGGATATAAAATACATCCCAGCTTCACATCACTCAGCCCAGCTACTTCTGCATACCGGCTCCTCTTATTCTGAAGTGGGAGTTCATTTCCATTGAGCATGATGGACCCGAGACACCCCTGGAAGCCTTCTTGTGCCCGTGGGGGCCTCTGGCCGCCTTTGCCCACTGGTCCGTGCAACACCTGAGCCCCGAAGAACAGCGATCCGTCTGCAGCCAGGGGCCAGATGCGGACAGGGGCCCGCACAGAATGCCGACGCTCCACGTAGCTGTCGTCCAGTGAAAGGAGAGTGTAGTTACTGGAGAGCTCCAGGGTCACGGTGTGCCAGGACCCATCATTGATTGGACGCCCGGAGATGCCCAGTATGTCCAGTCTGTTGTCACAGTCCATCTGGAACCACAAACGCCCTTCCTCTATCTGAACAAACACAGACAACGACTCACTATAGGGTCACTCCGTGTCAACTCAACCAAAGGTCCCGGATCCAATTTTTGATTTCGTTTGCCTTTTTTCTGAAGAAAGATAAACATGTATAGCAATGAAAGGCAAAATATGAAATGTCATGGATGTATATTTACGGAGGGGGGGGCTCAAAATGAAAATTTTCCTCTGCGATTCAGAGCCAAAACTACTCCAAAGTTTGCAGGCCTGTAACTCAAGAAATATTACAGATATCTTAATGTCCTTTTAGATTTTGGGTTCTAACAAACTTTCTTTTGGTATCTTAATTTTTAAGGCCCTATATGGTTCAATTCCAGCGATATTGGAATCTCAATATGGCTCCGGGAGTAAACAGTTCAATTGTACACATTTTCAGTGGTCAAAAATCAAATGTGGGTCACTTTGCATTCAGCTGATACTTTTTTCTTTTAAAGAGAAATGTCTGAAGAACCATTGAAACTAGAAATGTATCTTGTTTACCTCTATCAAAACAATTGCATAGAACATACCCGTCTGCGTGCCATACATATTCTTTTTCCAAAGTTTGCATCCCTGTAACTCAAGAAATATTAAAGATAAATCAATATGATTTTAAATTGTGGTTCTTAATATACCTTCTCTTAGGAATTTTCATTTTAAGGCCCTATATTGTTCAATCCCAGAGATATCAGGATGTCAATTCTGTGTCCAAATGGTTGAATCCTACCCATTTTCAATAGTTGAAAACCAAATGTGAATTTTTGTTTACCTAGTTATGACTGTTGACACTGCAAGTATGCAAATAATAACAGTAACCCAGGGTTTAGAAATAGTGTGACATGTCAGATTGTGAATAACCAGGATTAATTGTTAACTAATTGTAATTGGTAAAGTATGAACAATGTGAAACTTAAAATAAGATTACCCAGGATCCCATTTACTCAGGGTTCAGAATTACCCAGGGTTAACTATTTAAAGTGTGAGAGAGTTTAAATGTTTAAAAGTTTGAGGTACTATCAGAGATTCTACCAAATATGCCCCTTATCAGTGGATAATACTTGATCTATAAATATGCGTTAAAATATTATAATAATAAAAAAAGAAAAATTAATTGTAAAAATTAATCCAGGTCAGACAAATCTTGGTTTATTGATGTGAATATAATGTGTGAGAAGAGCAATCACACTTCTCTATGAGGCGTGGGATTTGTTTCAAACATGTAGTTACGATACTGCATATTTGAACTCTTGGTAGCTTCAGAAGCTGTTAAAATGAACAAAATCCCTTTTTCTGTTTTTCTTAAAACAGATTCAAATATAGAATCTTATGAATAGACTACTGAGTGCAAGTTAATGAGCCAACTTGACCATTTCTGTGCTTTTTCAGCACTTAGACAGGTATGTTCTATGCAATTGTTTTGATAGAGGGAAACAAGTTAAAACTCTAGTTTCAACATTATTTATTCTTCAAGCATTTCTCTTTAAATACAATAAGTATCAGCTGTATACAAAGTGACCATCATTTGGTTTTTGACCACTGAAAATGGGTAATTTTCAACAATTTGGACATGAAGCTGCATTGAGATCCCCATATCTCTTGGATTGAGCCATATAGGGCCTTGAAAATTAATATCCCAAAAGAAAAGTTTGTCAAGAACCAGAATCTAAAATCATATTGAGATATCTTTAATACTTCTTGAGTTACATGCATGCAAACTATGGACAAATAATATATATGGCATTGAGACAGGTCTGTTCTGTGCAATTGTTTTGATAGAGGGAAACAATACACATTTCTAGTTTCAACATTATTTGCTCTTTAGTCATTACTTTTGCAAAGAAAAGAAGTATAATATGTATGCAAAGAGCCCTATGTCTCTGGAAAAGAACCATATACTGTAGAGCCTTAAAAATGAAGATACCAAAAAATAATAAAAGGGCATTAAGTTATCTTTAATACTTCTTAAGTTACAGACAAGCAGACTTTGGAGAAAAAACTTGAAAAGTGCTTTTTCCCCATTTCTGAATAGTCACCATTGGCATATAATGCAACAAAGATTACTAAAGTCAACAGATTTTACTAATAGAGCTACCAATGTGTAAAAATAACAATGATGCTGCCATTTTGACCCCCCTCTACAAAATAGTGGATTACTCCGTAAATATACATCCATGACATTTAATATTCTGGCTTTCATTGCTATACAAGTTAATCTTGCTTCAGAAAAAAATATTGACAAAATCAAAAATTTGAGCTGGGGAAGTTTCTGAAATTTGGTTGATTTGATACAGAATGACCCAATAGCAAACATAACTGCATAGTCAGCTTGCAATCGCAGGTACAATATTATATAAAGATAATAATAAATAATTAGTATTTTTTTTTACATGTGAAATATTACCTGGATATGCATGTCATATTATATAATATAATACACATAATGCTATTATAGTATTTGGTTTACTTTAGTACATAATGTTTTACAGAAAGCCAGTAAAAACTTTTTTTCATAAAATCAACATACATTTTAATTACTTACAATGACGTGTACTTAATAAAGCCCCAAAAATGAATAAATATCACATATATCTATACATACACTACCGTTCAATAGTTTGGGTTGGTAAGAATTTTGCATTAATGCCAAATTAAGGATGCATTAATTTGAAATGCATAAATGCATAATGATTTCTTTTGAACTTTCTGTTCAAAGATCCTGAGAGAATTTCCACAAAAATATATATAAAAGCAGAACAACTGTTGTCAATGTTTTCAACACTGATAATAAGAAAGAAATGTTTCTTGAGCATCAAATCAGCACAATAGAATGATTTCTGCTGAAAATTGGATGCTGAAAATTCAGCTTTGCTATCACAGGAATAAATTGCAATAATGTTTTACAATATTACTGTTTCTAAGCATCTTTTAAAAATATTAAATATACACACAAAGATAAAAAATATCTATACATAAACACTATATTTTGATTGCTGCATTATAGTAATGAGAATGGGTGGGATGTGTTTAATTATGTATATACAATCTAATGAAATAATGTAGAAAATAATGCATTAATCATATCTCTAGAGATCTGTATCCATCTGACCTTGAGCAATGTGCAGCGGTCAGCACGTGTGTACATGATGACTCCTTGGCTCTGCAGTGTTCTGATTCTCAAGCCCAGCTTCATGTCTCCACTCCAGTCACTGTCCGTCACTCTGTATCTGATGTAACTGTTTCCTGCAAAGCTCAGAGATGTTTGGCCTGCCAGCACAGGTATGAAAATCAGTCAGTCAGTCAAAGGCTAACACCATATTTCTAAATCTGTTATTTATACACACTTTCACAAAAGATATTCGTAGAAGTGTTTGGCTTCAATCACTTATGCTGAAATGACATTTAATCATATGTTTGACACACCCTCGGGATATTCTACAAGCGGGAGCCCATATTTGAAGGGAAATGAATGCTTACATAACTTTTGCCAACCATATCATGCTAAAGGAAAGTCATTTTGAATTTTTGTCTTTTGTGTTTGTAGTGACACACTTCGAGCTGCCTGAGGGACTCAAAATAAAAATGTCTTTATGGTATCACTTGTATTATATACCATGCTACAGGTATATGCTTTTCCTCAAAGTAAAAGGGTGTTTCAGTATGAACAAAATGACTGTGGACATCCGTTCTTTACATACCCAATGTTTTCATGCATACATCAATCTCCATTTGCTTTAATATGATTAAAAATATTGTGCAGTCACAGACTTTTTTGTAAGTTTTTAATTTTTTACATTAGTAAAATCCAATATTTAAATAAATGCACTTGAATATTAAGAAAATATTTATTAGGTAAAACTCTATTCCCTTTAAGATATCAACTAAATTAATACACTATATAAAATATATCAAATAAATATACGTACAATGAAAATCAGCACTTCTCATTTATTTGTAATATTACCAGACATCCTTTAGGGACAATAACCTGTTAGGTGGATGGATTATCTCTGCAAAGGAGAAGTGCTCACTAACACAGATTTAGACAGATTTGTGAACAATATTTGAGAGAAATAGGCCTTTTGTGTACATAAAAAAAGTCTTAGATCTTTGAGTTCAGCTCACGAAAAATGGGGGCAAAAACAAAAGTGTTGCGTTTATAATTTTGTTCAGTGTACATATCCTTTCCCATGTTGTAAATGTATTTGAAATCAGAAATCATTTTAACATCTTTCCTCATATGCTGCAATTAAACACAAAAAAACATTTGAATATTTACCAGCTCACAACTCACTGTCACAATTCTGCGTGATGAAAGTGTTGTAAACCCCTTTTTGAAACATGAAACATTGCTTTACCCAACATTACAAGTGGCCTTAAGCCAGAGTTTAAAAGGAGCATCGTAAAAAGCCTATTTGAGTCTAACCTGCACACTTGTCCAGAGTGTCAGGCAGACACTGGCAGAGAGATGGTGCTGTGGGGCCACTACGCACACACTGCATGTCTGACGGACATGTTTGGCCATCACAGAGTTCCAGAGGAGATGGACATATTCCTCCTGCAGTGGGTACAAAAAGTTAGAAAACAAGCAAATGGAAATTCTGCCACTCGAGCTACTGTTTGAATTTAATCAACCAGGATAAATAATGCATACCATGAAATGCATCCTACAATAAACAGGGTTGCCAACTTTGGTTAACTGGTTGGAGTAAGATTTTGATGGCATGGGCAGATAAATTACAGGAACCTATATGAGGTTTTGAGGAAGCAATAATTCATTATTTATTTTATCATTATTTACATTATTTATTAATAAAAAATTTTTTTTTAAATCTTAATACTTAAGGTTAATGTTGTACAATGTACAGTTTTTAGAAAATTTTCAATTCTTAAATTCATGCTGTTTACCTACCTAATATTACTGAGGGGTAGTAATAATAATAATAATGATGATTTATTAACCTTTTTGCTGTGCTGAAAATCCTTTACATACACTGGCGCTCCTAGTCAAAAATCTGCCTTTTAAAAATTGCTTGTAAATCTTTAATTATGTCATATTATCAGCAAATACTGGATTCAATCTTTTCGTTTTCTTTTGTTAACACAGGTTTTTTATGTCTTTTTGGAACTGATTGGTCATTGGCAGATTTTGAGTGAAAAAAATATATTTTTGGCAATATTTACTCAAAAACTGATTGAAAGAAAACAAGCTGATAAAAAGACTGAATCCAATATTAGGTAATAATATAGCATAATGAGAAATGTATATGCAATCTTCAAAAAAGTGCAAACATCACCAAAAAAAAAGTTTTTTTGGGAAGTTGTTATACCCTGTGTGAGCAAAGTCAGTAGGTTTTAGTATAATGCAATAACATTAACTAGCATTTTCAGGAAAAAGAAAATCCTGAGAAATCACAACATGAGAGTTAAGATTGCATTATAGTTACTGTTCCTATAAAACATACTTTCTTACGTAAATTTGATGTTCAACAAATATTTGATGAAATGTATAATATTCAATCTATATGATCACTCATTTTTCTGTTGCACTCTCTCTTATTGATACATATTTGAAGTTTAAAGTTAGCTTGTACTCGCTTGCTCTTACAACTGTTTTGCGAAATGGAAATACGCGTCTGACTTTGAAGTCATAACTCTTATAAAGAATATAAGAGTATAATGTAAGCAAAGTGCATTTAGCATTTTCTTGTTACTTGCCATGAGATTTAGTAAGGTTAGCATGAGAGTCGGAAAGCGTGTCTCATGCCAAATGTTTGAGAGTTGGCAACCCTGGAATAAATTTGAATCAGTTTTGCCAGTTTTATCATTTGAGACTGAAGCAGAGCACTAACTTGGGCACGTGCACATCTCTTTTCTGCTGAAGTGTGGAGACACAAAGCTCACTCTGGAGGTGGTGTAGGTGACCAAGCCGATGGGGTCGAGATTGAGGGTGAGCTCACAGACTCGCTCCCCACACTCAAGCTCTTCTGAGCAACTCTGATCCAGGACGCTGACCACCCTCAGCGCTCCCTTTAGGAAACCCTTCGCTTCTTCCAGCTTGAGAGCCAGCTCTCCTGGACCCATATAACCCTCATCTGGAGTATCCACGGCAAGGAGCACCTCCAGCTGACTGGAGCGACCCAGTGGCTGCACTCCCAAAATGTGGAGGGGGTCTGGTCCATCAATTACACCAGTCTCATCACCAACCAGTGAGGTACGGAGCACCTTCTTCAGCTCTTCCATATACACACCCACAAAATCCTCTGGGGACAGGTCTTGGAAACGTAGAGTCACTGCATTCTGCACCATCTCATCCGTGGCTTGCTCCACCTGGACACTAATGCCCACCATCACAGAAAACCTCCCATCACTGACTGTAGCGTTTAGGGAGTATCTGAAAAAAATTTTTTACTGATCATTAAGAAGCAGGCAGGCAAGCACAAAAACACATACAGAAATGTGTAATGATGAGCCAATAGTATTGAAATTGCCATTTATATCTGCTAATTGCAGATTACTAGAAAAAAGGGAGATCATTTCAAAATAGCCATGTGGATTTATTATTTTTATGTATGAAAGTTTCTTTCCGTGATGGAATTAAGGAAATAAAAATGGTAATTGCAAATTTTTATCTCAATTCTGTAAACTTGCAAGAAAAAAAAAAGACAAGCTTGTTTCTACTAGGAATAAAAAAAAAAAAAAAGGTAATTGTGACTTTTATCATACAATTCACAATTTATCATACAATATCAATTCAATATCATACAATAATTTTCAGAATTGTGAGATGTTAATTCTGCAATTCTCAGAATTGTGAGAAAAAAAGTCACAATTGTCAGATATAAATTCAAGTTGTAATTACCTTTATTTTATTTATTTTAAATTCCGAGGTAGAAATAAGCTTCCATAGCTATATGAAGTAGTTCACATTAAACAATTTTTAAAATGAAGGTTTACAATGCCTTTATTTATTTTGGCTATTTTTCAAACACTTTTTAGGTCTAGATCTTTTTTTTTTATGCTTGTCCTAAAATATTATTTATTAGTTGTTTTTTTAACTATGATAGTCTAAACAAAGAGTGAAATAAACTGTTTTTATTTCATAATTGTAAAATGCAATAAGTCTGAAAATTATTAATTGTGTTGTCTTTATTTTGGATACATAAAATAGCCATAAAGCAATAATAATAATAATTAATTAATTAATACAAATAGCATTAGGACGAGTTGAACATTATTCCTAGTGTAACTAGAGTGTGAGAGTGTGAAAGGGAGTTTTAGGGGACTTTATTTTTATATTAAGGTCCAAAAGCCAAAATAGCCCATGATTGAAGAAATACACATTTCAAATTAAATTTGTCTTTATTTTACCTTCCAGGCTCCAGGCCATTTAGTGCCACAATCTTCCCATCCTGTCTGTTGATTTTGAAAAGACTCTTTGTTTTTGATCTCTGACTGAAAGACAGAACATCATTCTCATCTCGGTCTGTGGCATAGATCTTCCCTATAATCCCGCCAGGAAACACATCTGCTGCCATGACAATGTTGATTTCCAGTGGGAAGGCCACAGGTTTGAAGATGCTGTTTCCGATAACGCGCACAAACACAAAGGATGTGGAGGACAGACGAGGCTTCCCTGAGTCACGTGCCTTGTTGACAAGAACAAGAAACTACAACATCAAACTGAAGAAATTAATTCAATCCCTTAGAAATGTCAGAGCAGCTACATGGGCATTTCTTCATCTACAGTTACTTTTATGTTGCAGAGGTTGATTTTTATTTAAACAGATTTCTCTTTCTGTTATATGAAGGTCACATTAAAGTTGCATAAGAACCTTTCGTCTATTTATTCAACCATTTAATTATTTCATAAATAATTTATTTTCCCAGTTATTATTATATATAGATTTTATTGTTTTATCCTTGTCTTAAACCCAGACTTTTGTTATAAAATATGAAAATCCATCATAAAAATATTAATTCTATTTAAAACTATGATCTAAACAAGGAGTTAAATAAAACCATTTTATTAAATATTAACAGTGTCAGTGAAGAGCATACTTGATGTCATATAGGGGACCTGTGATATGTGAAAAAAAGAGAAATCAAGGTAAATTTTACTTCTGAACAGAATATTGTTATTTATGTTAATTGTAATTTGGTCAAATAATTTAAAAGTACAACAATTATTTCGCTATATAAATTATTTATAATGAATTTAATATATATAAAATTAGTTATGAAATTAGCCTTAGAAATGCAAAAATGTCAAACATTTCATTCTAGAAAAAATGTGTTTACAGAGGCCAGAAGTGTTCATAGTTGAAGAAACACCTGCAAATGAATTCTGTAATTCTTGAGCTGTTTTCTGGAGTTTCACTAACCTGTATCTCAAGTGTATACTCTCGTGTTGCATCAGGACCAAATACTCGGCTTGTCCGTAATTCTCCATTCTGGTCCAAACTGAAGGCATTGCCCTCATTTCCAGATACAATGCGAAACTCAAAAGGTGCACCATTTCTAGAGGAGTCCTTATCAGAAACTGACAGTGTGAGGATGGTAGTTCCTGCAGGCTTGTTCAACTTGAGAAAAAAAACGAATGATGGTAATTTTGAAATTCAAAAAAGGTCTAAATTGCAAGATTTTCATATTTTCTGAAGAAATTGTAAGTAATGCTTGAGCATACAAAAGTTTATACAACAATGCTAGTGTGCTGTTGGTAGTTGCCCGGTTGTTGGTATGAATTTATTGAGTGTCCAGGGTAATTGCTAGGTGGTTGTATCCTAGACCTAGTCAAAACTCCCACCCTAAATTTATATGATATTCCAGTCCATATATATGGCTCAGGCACTTCCTTTAGAGTAAGTCTAGGAGATTTCTTAGACACTTTATTATCTGCCAGGGGTAGATCATCAAGTCACAGCACACCTCTCCTCTTCAAGCATTACAATTAATTTCCATATGGAGATGAGATACTTGCCAAAATGTAATACTTAAAAGCAGGGGAACTGTATTACAATATTTTTTTATTTGCGTCAAAATGGTTTGAAAGGGTGATTTTTTTAAGTACCCTTATTTTCCTTATTTTCTATAAATGCTAAATGATAAGAGCAATACATAAAATATAACAATACAAAACTGTGTATATTTTCTGTTGATATGCACCAATATTAGAGAATAATATTAGACATCATGTAATAGTCATAAACTGCAATATTGACCAATACACTATTGATCATAGGTTTAGGGTCAGCAAGTTTTTTTGTTTGTTTGTTTGTTTGTTTTTTTAAGAAATTAATACTTTTATTCAAAGGTGCATTCAATTGATAAAAAAGTTACAAAAAATATATTTACAATATAACAAAAGATTTCTATATCAAATAAATGCTGTTCTATTGAATTTTCGATTTATCAAAGAATCATGGGGAAAAAATTATCGTTTCCACAAATAAAAAGCAGCAAATCAGCATATTAGAATGATTTCTGAAGGATCATGTGACACTGAAGACTGGAGTAATGATGCTAAAAATTCAGCTTTGCAATCACATGAATAAATTATACATTATAATTTTTTTATTAGAAATCTATTATTTTAAAATGTAATAATATTTCAAATTATTAATGCTTTAATGTTTTAACTTTATTACTGATCAAATAAATCCATCCTTGACCATAAGAGGTTTCTTTGAAAAGCATTTAAAAAATCTTACCAACCCCAAACTTTTAAACAGTAGTGCATATTTTACTAAAGCATTTAAATACATTTAAAATGTCACACTTTGAACATTTCAAGTTCTGAATCGATGCAGTTTGAACTGGACAATTTGAACTCATTCACAAAAAAAATTAAATAAATTTAAAAAAGTTTAAATCAGAGATGCTACTAATTAAAACATCTCTGTTCTAATACTCATGTTGTATCACCACAAAACTAATCTGACACATTCTTAATGTTAAAAAACTATGCATTATATATTTTGAGAATATATCATCCAGTTATCCATCTCATCTGGCTCCTCAGCGAAAACCTGAATATGCGCTGCACCTGCTGCCTACTTATACTCACGCTGTGATCAGCAGCAGCTGGATGCAATAATCGCATGCCAATGTGCATTGGCTCGTTTAGTTTACACTCGAAGTAGATTGGTCCCTCTAAGCGAGATCCCAATTTCGTCGGTCCTCCGACGTGACGTCTCCGTTCCCTCCTTCAGGGAACGAGGGTTACATACGTAACCGAGACGTTCTCATCTCATCTAGGGGTTCGCTGAAATCCCTAACTCTAAGAATAAGCAACAGTAACATGTTGCATATAGGTATGATACAATGTCTATTGTTGCAAACAAAAGAGTTAAAACTTTCGCTCACACCTGAATAACAGCTGAAGCATTAGCGGGAGAGAAGATCGGCGGGTTGTCGTTCACATCAGCAATCTCGATATTGACATTCACAGTGGTTGACTTGGCAGGTGACCCGCTGTCAAACGCTTGCACAGACAATGAGTAGCTGGAGACCTTAAGCAACGGAGACAGGAGGATAAATGTCAGGCAAAAAAAGTTCAGAACGACTCAACTCTCAACAAATGTATTTTTAAAAAAAGAACAGGACTGTTCTCTCACCCATAGTCACTCAAAAGCCTCAATTTCAGCCCTACATTGCCTAATTAAAGACTTTATGGCTGATTTAAAGATAATTGGCCAAAATCATGCAATGTCTCAGGAGAGTGTCTCAAAGAGCCACAGCGCAGGGATGTCAAGATTC